ACAGGAACCCTGGGGGTGCAGTGGTTAAAGTGCTTGGCTGCTAAGCAAAAGGTTAGCAGTTCAAGCTCACCAGCCACTCCAGGGGAGAAAGATGTGGCATTCTAGTCCCATGAAGATTATATAGTCTTGGAAACCCTAAGGAGCTCTTCTACTCTGTCCTATAGGGTCACTAGGAGTCGGAATCAACTCAATGGCAATGGGTTTGGTTTAGTGTGTGTGTGTACATATATATTTCAAATCTTTACTTTTTGAAATAGACTTTGTTTTTTAGAACAGTTTTAGGTTTATAGAAAAAACTCGCAGAATACAGGGAGTTCCCATTTGGCCCTCTGGCCTTGTTGTTTCTCCTATTTGTAACATCTTGGATTCCTGTGGTAACTTGTTATAATTGATGAACCAATATTGATACATTATTACTAACTAAAGTCCATAGTTTACATCAGGGCTCACTCTTTGTGTTGTAAAGTTGTATGGGTTTTGACAAATGCATAATGCCATGTGTCCACCACTATAGTGCCATGCAGAATAGTTTCACTGCCCTAAAAATGCCCTGTGCTCCTCTGTTCATCCTTCTCCCCTCCTCCTGGACCCTGGCAGCCACTGAGCATTTCACAGTTTCTACAGTTTTGCCTTTTCTGGAATGTCATATTGAATTATATTTTAAATAACCAAAATGACATGCATACACACACACATATAAAAGGGTCTGGCAGCTAAAGGTACCTAAGCACTACTGTTGTTACAACCTCTGGGAGAGAGCTGGTGAGGAGAAGGAGGCTAACTTCTACGCTAAAATCTTTTACAACATTTGTGGGTTTTAGAAATATATTTTAGATATTACCATGTATCTTCTAATCTTTATTCCTATCCTAACCACTCTAATTACTTTCCACTCCTATGAAAGCATACGCTTTTCTTAACACAGAAAACCATCTCAGCTCCCGAGCGCACGCACCACGCTCTTGCTCACTGGCTCTGTGTCCAGGTAGGAGGGGGGCATCTGGACTCTGCTGAGCACTTTAAAGCATGTCTTTAAGGCCTGCGTGAGCTCGGGTAAGCTCAGAGACTCCATGTTCTCAGCCAGGCACTGCACCATGCAGCTGAGCACCTGTGGGAGATACTGGGTTTGCACCTCGGAGTAGAGCTCCTGTGAAAAGAAACACAGGTTTAGGTAACACGCTTTCAGTTTATAATCAGGAAAAAAAAAAGGCACCTCAAAATGGCATCTTAGAAAACTCAATTTGTTAGAGCACAAGTAAGTTTCATGCTAATTTCCAAATAGGAAAACATAATCATGTTTCCTTTTAATCCAAAGAAATCAATGGATATTCTTCCGCTCCTTTCAAGCGCTTTTACCCGCTTCTAACAGAAAATAATAAAATTTCCACATGTGATCTCTATGTTAAGGAAAGTAGTTTCCTTAGGAAAAATTAGTTAACTGTCCATTTTAGCCAGGATATATATTTACCATCTCCCCTAGGTAACTGACACCTAGTTCATCATCTGGGTTAAGTAATTTCAGCTCAGCCCACTTACAACTAGCCAAAAAATTGTAGGGCCTTTTAAATAAGACAGACAAGATGTAAAAGTAGCTTACACTCAGTGACATTTCCCATGCTGATACAAACATTACAATAGTGTTGTATAGATGGGACAAACCTTTTGTGCTCAACTACTAACTTAAAGGTGGGTGGCTCAAACCCACCCAGTGCCATGGAAGAAAGGCCTGGCGATCTGCTTCAGTTAAGATTACAGCCAAGAAAACCCTATGAAGCACAGTTCTACTCTGTAACGTATGGGGTTGCCATGAGTTAGAATCGACTCGAGGGCAACTAGCAACAACTTTTCAGTAAACTGAAGTTTATAAAAGAGGCCCGCGACATTAATAAAGACGCAATCAGAGCGAGCACCACGGCAAAGCTGCCTCACCAAGGGAATAACGTCTAGCAGGAACACAAGGAGGGTGCAGAGCTCCGAGACGGTGGGGGGTGTGCTGAGGCTTTTCCCACCAGAGTAATTCTGCTTCTCTGTCTTCGCTGGCCTACGTCAGAGGGGAGAAAAACAAATTAATGCTTTCTCCTACAATAATTTCAACCATTTGTCATGACTTCCAGCAAAGTTGCCTACTGTAACTTTGTTATGTAACATATTTCAAAAATAATGAAACTGTAGTTCCAGTAAAAAAGCTTTGGTGACTAAAATTATATAACAGAGAGGAAGTGTTAATAGTGTCTTGAATCTGCTTGTCTCTAGAAAGGGTCCACTGTGACTTGAACTTCATAAATTCCGATGAGAGTGGTCCCATGCCCATGTGGGATTCCACACCTAGTGGGCCTGGCCAGCATCCCCAACCCCAAACCAAACCTATGTTCCAGGTAAACCAGCCTGGGCTGCAGACCACAGCAGGCCCCACAGCTGTGCAACTTGGAGGAGGAGCAACTCAAGGCAATGCCTTCCCCAGCTAACACCCATGAGTTCAGCAACATGTGGGTTGTTAAGAGTTCTTCAGCTTCCACAGAGGCTTGTATCTCCACTGATCAACTCTATTGTTAACTGCTTATCTTACATGGAAAATCAACACTTCTTTTTAAGTAAGCAGACAATTAGATAAACAAACCAAACCCAAAACCAAACCCGTTGCCATCGAGTCAATTCCGACGCATAGCAACCTTATAGATACACAGGTAAGTTAAAAAGTATATACTGGTTCTCAGAGTTACTTTGGATTCATGTCACTAACATGATACTAGCTGTTAATTTTCTTCACTATAAATTAAAAAAAAAACCAAACCTGTTGCTGTCAAGTTGATTCCAACTCATGGTGATCCCATGTGTATCAGAGTAGAGCAGTGCTCCACAGGGTTTTTAATGACTGATTTTCAAAAGGAAATTGCCAATCCCTTCTTCTGAAGTGCCTTCTGGGTGGACCTGAACCACCAACTGAAAGGCTGGCAGTTCAAATCCACCAAGAGGTGTCTCAGAAGAAAGGCCTGGTGATCTGCTTCCAAAAGGTCACAGCGTTGAAAACCCTATGGAGTGCAGTTCTACTCTGCACACATGGGGTTGCCATAAGTCAGAATCGACTTGATAGCAACAGGTTTTATTTTGTTTTGTTCCAAACTGTGAGAAAATAAATTTGTTTTCAAAGCCATCCATGTGTAGTATTTTTGTTACAGCAGCACTAGGAAACTAAGACATCAACTTTAAACCCTCTCATCCTTCCTAAACATTCCACAATACCGAGCTGCATACTTACTTAAAGCAATCCTCAAAACACCTCATCATATAATCCCACAGAAAGTCTGTGCTGAGGGAAGTGATGAGCAAGTTCACCGTCTTAACAATCTCAGAGGCATTTCTATTTTCTTTTATTGAACTGTAAAAGAAGGGGATAGAATTAAATCTATGAAAAAGCCTATATTATGAGAAGACTGTCTGAAAAATTGTAACCCATTTTATCATTACAACTTATTTCTAGAGAGATTGACAAATCCCGAAAAAGATGAAAATATTACTGTTCTTACATAGGAAAGCGTTTCCATCATGCCATCCTAAACAATATTTATATTAATGCATTCTCTTAGAAATAAGCTTAACAGTTATTATAAAAAGAATTTGGTTTAGAAAACAAATTTTATTGCAATAGTAGGTAGTTAGATCCTCTACTGATGAAATAGGAGCCTGGTAGCATAATGGTTAAAGCACTTGGCTGCTAACTGAAAGGCTGGTGGTACAAACTGACCAGCGGCTCCACAGGAGAAAAGACCTGGTGATCTGATCCCCTAAAGATTACAGCCTCGGAAGCCCTATGGGGCAATTCTACTCTGTGCTATAGGCTTGCTATGAATCAGAACTGACTCCATGGCATACAACAACAATAATTGGTGAAATAACGTGGTATACTCAGCAGGCTGTATTATCTTTAAAAGATCAACAAAACAAAACACAAGATTTATAGATATCTACACACTTTAAGCCCAGATGCCTGTTGTCTCCATCCGCCAACTCTCTGCCTCCAGGGTCCTTGGGATACCCTTTCCTTGGTCTTTCCCCTTCTGCCCTTTGACTATGCTCCTGGCTCACCCCTGCCTCCACTTCCCAAACTAACCCCCTCCCATCTGCCCTTCTTCCCTTCTCCCTGTAACCCAACCCTAGTTATACTCAATCCAGTTGCCTTGGTTGAACAATATTCATAGTTGGTCAATACATAATGTTTGTACATCTCACGCTGGAACAGAAACTAGATAAAACTTTTAAACTCTTCACAGTACTAAACAGGGAGGAGTCAATTCATGTTGATTAACTTATCAGCATAGATTATTTTAATGAGTGTCTATGAGGTGTGGAACTCCCTTGCAATAAACAATGTGGCCTTTGGTCCTGGTTCCTGGGAGCAGGACCATGCCTGAGGCCAGTCAGTTGGCACTGACCAGACCAAGAGGGAACACCTGGGGGCTGATGCTGACTAAGCCTCAGGAGGCGTGATGTCATCTATCATGGCCATATGCTGAGGCCAATAAAGGCTTTGGAAGATGACGGTTCAGTGGAGCTTCCTGGTTGGAGAGAGGGATATAGAAGCTCTGAGTCTAGATCCCTCCTGGACCCTGCCCTATGTGTTTGCATCCTTTTTTTCTGCTAGGTTAAAGATAGCCCTTTGGTGGGGGTGTGGGGGTGTATGGAATGAGGAATAGAATTTCAAATTCTCATGGAATCCAGACTTCCTGGAGCCACTGAGGCCAGATAACACCCCACTCCCCAAACTACTTCTCTGAGGAAATCTTTAAATCATGAACCAAAACTATCCCCTAAAGTCATCTTTGAACCAAACAATAGTTTAGCCTAATTAGAAAAGAATGTCTGCATTAAGCATTATACCCTTTTCAAGAATTAGCTATATGTGATCAAACTGACAACAGCATTTCAAAAAGATAAATGAGAAGCTTAGCAGTGCAGTGAATTTGTATTAATGATGGTGAAATAGTTTGGAAAAGATTGTCGGGAAAGGTGGCACAACTTAAAGAATGTAACCTATGTCACTGAATTGTATGTGCAGAAATTGTTGAAGTGGTGTATGTTTTGTTGTATATATTTTCAACAAAAAAAAAAAAAGGGAAACAAAAAAAAAATCAGTTGAGTAGTGGTGATGATATCACAGCAGGTGAATGTAATCAATGTCACTGAAGTGTACACTTAAAAGTGGTTACAGTGGCAACTTTGTCACATATATTTTACCAAAATAAAATTTTCTTGAAAGAAAAATAAAAAAGATAGCCTGTTTCCTGCAGTGAGTCATTTCAAGGGATTATTGGACCTAAAAACACAGAAGGGGCGGTGCCTGCTCATCTAGCCCTGGGTGAATGGAGATGAGAGATGGGACTGTGTGGAGCAGCTGGGGCCTGGACTGACCAGGGAAGGGAAGCTGAGGTCTTTGGACTGGCCTCCCTGGACTGGTTGTGCACAGTTGGTGCCGTGAACAGGGTTAGCTAGAGAGAACCCCGACAGCACAGCGTCTGATCTGAGGCATCTCCACTTTTTCTAGCATCTCACAGTGTATAGTAAGCAACAGAGGAAAAATAATCATGGCATTAGAGGGAGAAGAAAGACCTTCCATGTGAAGGTGGAGGCCAAACCCATACCTTATCAGTGAGTTTCCACTCTGAGTGTAGCTCAGTTGAAGATCAGAGCCAAGAGCATCTCTGCAGTAAGAATAAAAGGCCCTGATCACTTCCAGAAATAAATTCCCAACCACTTGTGGCCCTGCAATGAAAAAGAAAACGGTCAAAGAAAGACCATCAATTGAATAAGAGCTTTAGAACACAGGTGTCTGGCATATTCTGGGTGGGTGGCCTAGGAGCAAGCCCCATTCCATTTTGTTGCAGGCTTCTGCTTCTGCATTCTTGAGACTGTAACTCTGACTTCTTCCCATTCATACGCATATGGACATGGGCTTCTGGCTGGATGGAACCAACAGACAACGTGGCTGTGCTTAGACAAGTCCAGGCAATCCCAGGCTATGCTTAGAGAAGTCTGGGAAGCCCAGAGAGGTCTGAGGAAACAATCTTTACCAGAATGTGGCTATGCCTAAGCAAGTCCAGGCAAGTCCAGGGAAGGTCAACCAATCAATCTTGCTGGGAGGTTCCTGATTCTGCCCTATAACTATCCCTGCAAAACAGCCACCCCCTGGAGTCACTGATGTTCACTCTGGGTGGGCTAATGTCTCCCCATTTGAATGTTTCTTATGTTCTCAATAAATCCCCTTTGTTTCATTTTAACAGAGTCTTTGAGAGTTTTACTCTAGGACACGATGATTCTACTTTAAAATCAATAAATGACATACACATAAAATGCATATATTATCTCTATATAGACAATTTATATAGGCTAAAATGTGCAGAACCATAAGAACTTTAGTGTGGCAATGACAACTTTAGCTGGGGGAATAACATTCATGAAAATAGTCAACATTTTTTGTGATTTCACTGTTACAGAGCCCTGGTGGCTCAGTGGTTAAGCGTTCAGCTGCTAACCCACAAAAGCAAAAGATGTGCCTCCCAGAAAACTATTTTGATGATAAGCTCCATGTGTATTTTATCTACAGCATAAGAATGCCAAAAGCTTTTTACAAATAAAAGCAATTCTGTCGCCTGATTCAGGGAGAAAACGTGGAAGTGGCAAAAGCCCTGCAACCAAAGAATGGATAAGACCAAGTGACCAAGTTCTGTGCCTTCTAACTCAGTGCTCCCTATAATCTACTACTTTTCTCTTAAGTACCGTATTTTTTCGCAAATAACGCGCCCACATATATAACTCGTGGAATAGCACACTTACGAAAATAGCATGGGGGCTGCACTGTTGGCAAAATGTATAGCAAGAGTGTTATTTGCATAAAAATACAGTACATCTTCTCTTAGAAAACTAAATTATATGAGACAGAGAAAACAGGCAGTGGTGGGTCAGTAGCAGAATTCTCGCCTTTTATGCAGAAGACCCAAGGTAGATCCCTGGCCAATTCATCTCATGTGCAGCCACTACTGTCAGAGGTTTGTGTGTTGCTCTGATGCTCAGCAGGTTTCAGCGGAGATTCCAGACTAAGACAAACTAGGAAGAAAGGCCTGGAGCTCTCCTTCCAAAAAGCAGCCAATGAAAACCCTGTGGATCACAACAGTCCAATCCATACTGATTACAGGATGGCACAGGACGAAGCAGTGTTTTGTACTGTTGTGCAGGGGGTCGCCATGAGTCAGGGGCTGACTTGAGGGCAGCGAACAACGACAACAACGTGATTGAGCAGAAGCTGGCCCCTCAACCCTCCTGGGAAATCCCACCTGAGCCCAAGCTAGCAGCAAATTTCCGCCTGGTTTTCTCACAGCTGCTCGGTCTTGACATGAAACATACATCTCCAAACTGCTGAGTCTTACTTTCCTTTTCGATACTTCTCCAATCACACAGCAAGCTCCCAGTACATCTGCATAACTAACTGGTTTCCCTTTTAGACTAAACCATAGCCTCTCAGAGCTGCAGGCACTCCACACCAAGAGAAAAAGCTATGTGAGCCATGGCTGATTGGCTGGGGCAGGCAGGAAGGAGAAGGGAGGTGGAAAGCCTGCACAACGCAAAATACTTTTAGATAGTACTTAAATGCGTAGCTTGGAAGAACAAATGCTTAATACTTGGACCTTGGTTAAGAGAAGCTAGAGCTATACATGTTGTGGAATAAAAGTTCATCCTTCTTACACAAACGTTCACTGCAGCACTATTCACAACAGACAAACAGGGGAAACAACCCAAGTGTCCGTCAACAGGTGACTGGACAAACAAAATGTGATATATCCATATAATGGAGCACCACTCAGCCATAAAGAGAAATGACGTCCTGATACATGCTATGACCTGGATGAACCCTGAAAACATGATACTGAGTGAAATAAGTCAGACACACCAGGACAAATATTACATGATCCCACTTACATGAAACAGGCAAATGCACAGAGACCAAAGCTTACTGGTAGTTACTGAGGGGGTGGGAGGGTGTGAGGAAGGGGGAGTCACTGCTCAGGGGGCACTGAGTTTCTGTTAACGGTGGTGGAATAATTTGGAAAAGAATAGTAGTAATGGTTGCACACCATGATGAATGCAATCAAAGTCACTGAATTATACATGTAAAAACTGTTGAAATGCCAAATGTTTCGTCATACAGTAAAACCTGCGAAAGCCAGAACCTGTGCACGGCAGAAACCTGTCAGAGAAGGAAAACTCAAACATTCTCCACGAATAAACAGTGATAGAAAAGTGGTAAGACCACACCCTGTCAAAGGCAGAAAACTTGCAAAATCTGGAAAAGCAAGGCAGTTCTGTCGAGTTCTGGCTCTCACAGGTTTCACTGTACACATTTTTACCACAATAAAAATTTTTCAAAAAAGAGCTCGTCTTTGCTACGGGAGTAAGCATCTGTGGTGTCAACTGTGTGAGTGTCATGATGACGAGAGTTTATTAGGCTCTGGAGCCAACAAATCAAGTTTCAACCCAGCTCTTGGTGACCTCAGACAAATGTCTCACCCTTGCTCAACTTTAGTTGCTCTCTCTTTAAAATGGGTATAATCAGAGAACCAATCTGGGATGTTGGAGGATGACCTTACAAGACACTATAACTCACTTGACACAAGATAACTGCTCAAAAAAAAAAAAGTCAGCCATTAATATTAACAACAGTGAAACCACACCAGGATCTGAGTCTTCCTTCAGTCCACTTGATTGAGGGCCTTTTCTTCCCTCTGTACCCCCAGAGCCTCGTACGTGCCTGCCACACGACACATGTTCGCACTTGTCTCTGAACTCACACACAAATGGTCCTATCTTTAGTTTGGAGAGAGACAGTCACCTCACTAATGCCCTTGGCTCTTTGGGTCTTTGAAAACAGCAATCACATATCTGTCTGTGGGCACGTCCTGGGCTGTACCGACCACTGGAGATCCAGCAGGAGAAGATGAGAGATGTCTCCCCATTGCGGTGTCCAAGGAACTACGTGTTAGGCTGAGATAGTGGATGGGTGGCACAGCAAAGGTTTTTTTTAAAAAAGCGGAGAGGATCACTCTTCTCACCTGATACACAAGGACCATAGGTACAAGTGGGGCCCAGAGTCTAGTTCAACCCCTTTATTTTACAGAGGAAAAGACCCAGGCCCAAATGGCAGAAGGGGCTTTACGGACACAGGCAAAAAGATGGAGGAGGGTGCCCTATTTTTCGAAAATAAAATCTAAGTTCAAGGACTGAAGACACATTCTTAAACGTACATACTGTGTGTGCTTGTACACAAACATGCACCATAGGGGCTCAAAGGTATTTTCCTAACCAAAATATTCAAATTTTTGGAGCCAAAGCACTCAGGGGCCCCCTGATACAATAACTGAGCCACTAAACATGACTAAGGTACTTCAAGCTTCTAAATTCCCGAAGATTAAATTATATTCTAAATCGTTCATTGATTGTGTTATCGTGCTTTAATTCTCTGAGAACCAATAACCCGTATTTGGAACATGATAGTAACTTTTAACCCTGCCATTTACTGTGCCAGAAGACAGCACTGAACCCTTCTAAAAACTAGGAGCTGTCCAGTTAATTCTGATTCTTGGCGCTCCCTTGCGTGTCAGAGCAGAACTGCATGCCACAGGATTTTCAATGACTGATTTTTCCGAAGTAGATCGCCAGGTCTTTTTTCCGAGGCATGTCTGGGGGGACACGAACAGCCTTCTTTTTGGTTAGCAGCCAAGCGTGTATCCGTTTGCACTCCCCAGGGATTCGGAACCCTTTCTAGCATTACCTATTTCCTGCTTGTCAAGCAGGCTGATGAGGATGCGGAAAGGTTTCAGGTATGCATGATGACGTTCCTCCACATCAACACCTGAGAAGTTCTGGTGCAATATTTCAATCAGGCCCTGTTATTTAAAAAGTCACGTTAGGATGGTAGGATGACAGTAAAGCATGACATTAATGGTTGTTCTAAGTGTTAAATACTCTGGGATTAGAAGGAAACCAGCGAACAGCAGGCAAACAATATGCTGCTGCTTTCCAAGCCATGTACCATGGAACATGCAATGTCTACTGGAAGTCCAGTAAAGAAGCCCCCAAAAGATCATGATCCAGAATACCCTGGAGAACCCTCATCCATAGAGGATGGGAATGTAAAAAGGTGCAGCCGCTGTAGAAAACAGTTCATTGGTTCCTCAAAAAGTTGAACATAGAACTACTGTATGAGCCAGCAATCCCAATCCTAGGTATATGCCCACAAGAAGTGAAGGCAGGAACGCAAACAGAAACTTGTCTACCAATGTTCATTGCAGTACTTTTTGTAACAGCCAAAAGTAGAAACATCAGAAATGTCCATCAACAGATGAATGGATAAACAAAATGTGGTCTATCCAAACAGTGGAATATTACGCAGCCATAAAGAGAAATGAAGTTCTGATGCATGCCACAACATGGATGAACCTTGAAAACATCGCACTGAGTGAAATCAGTCTGTTGTGAAAGGACAAATACTACATGACTTCACTTATATGAGATAAGCACATACATAGAAAACAAAGATTATTAGTGGTTACAGAGGTGGGAAGGAAGTAAAAAGGAGAAGTTTTTACTTAGGGGGCAATGAGTTCATGCTAATGGTGGTGGAATAACTTGGAAAAGGATAGTGATAATGGTGGTACAATATGAAGAATGCAATCAATGCCAGTGAATTTTACATGGAGAAACTGTTGAATTATTGAAGCTCTTCACCACGATTAAAAAAAAAAAATGCCCTGGATGGGGCTGACTGTCCAGTAGCGCTCCTTTACCTCAACTAAAAGATCCTTGGAGTACTTTTCGAAAAAATAAGAGGACTGGTCTTCGTAAGAATTTGAGATGTCAGATTCTGGCACAATAGTGTTTCCTTTAATATCTGAACCTATAAGAGAGTTGTAGAGAGATCTATAATTTTCAAGTACAGCATATTGTGTTAAAGTCTCACGTTCTGATAGTTTTAAAAACATAAGTCTTTCAACAGGAAACCAAAATCAGATTCCTAAAAACCAAGTAACATTTTTCTTCTACACCGAGACAAATTCTGACAGTGGTATGCAGGGATTATACTGGCAGAATTCCTTCTCCATAGGCATCGAGTTAGTTTGTTCCAAGAGTCTTCCCTAATTGTCTTTTACAATTATAGATTGTTGTTGTTAATTGTCATCAAGTCGATTCCGACTCATGGTGACCCCGTGTGTGCAGAGTAGAACTGCTCCATATGGTTTACAACGCTGTGATCTTTTGAAAGCAGATTGTCAGGCTTGTCTTCTGAGATGCCTCTGGGTGGGTTCCAAATGCCAACCTTTCAGCTACTAGTCGAGCGTTTAACCGTTTGCACCACCCAGGTCACACTTTTGATTACAGGCATATGACGGAATGAGGATAATTTTTAAAAAACCAGTATTTGTTTATACAGCAGTATGTGAAACAGGAGTCCCTTGGTGGTGCAAACAGTTAATGTGCTCAGCTGCTAACCAAAAGGCTGGTGGTTTGAGCCTACCCAGAGGCACCTCAGAAGAAAGTCCTGGTGATCTACTTCCAAAAAATCAGCCATTGAAAACTCTGTGGAGCACATTCTACCCTGACATACGTGGGGTTGCCAGGATTTGGAGCTAACTCAATGGCACCTGGTTTTTATGTGAAATCAAGCCATTCTCACAGATAAACCCTGGTTTTGAGCCTCAAATAACTGTGAGGTCCTCAGGGCCAGGAATAGCATCCTCGTGGTACAGGTAGAGAATCTGGGGCCCTTGGGACAGCTGAGTGAGTCAGGTGGAGCTGAACTCGGGCCTGTGTACTTTCTATACACAGCTTGTCAAGCCCCACTAGGAACAGAGCTACGCCGTCAACAAATTCATCCTTTTGATAAAAATGCTTCAAGAACCTATGAGTATTCTTTTCAAAATCCTTAGTAAGCTCCCGTGTAATGATTTCTCTAAGTTTTACAAGGGGGGAAAGGAGGGAAGAAAAGGTTAAGAGGATTTCCTGATGTTAGTGTGATAATATTTATGTGTTGAGGGTTAAGAAGGCTGTGAAGTCCTTTAAACTGTCTGCACACCAACTTTTCTTAGGCACATTAATGTGGGAATTAATAAAATGCTTATAAGTGCCTTTTGCTACCCTTTAACTAGTTAACCAGTTGCCACTGAATCACTCCAACTCATAGTGACCCCACGTGTGTCAGAGTAGAACTGTGCTCTATAGGGTTTTCAATGGCTAGTTTGGGGGAAGCAGATGGCCAAGCCTTTCTTCTGAGGTGCCTCAGAGTGGACTTAAACTGCCAACCTTTTAGTTAGCAGCAGAGGGCATTAACTATTTGCACCACCCATGGATTCCTGCTACTCTTTAAAAAAAAACAAAAAAACCCGTTGCCGTCGATTCCGACTCATAGCAACCCTCTAGGACAGAGTAGAACTGCCCCATAGGGTTTCCAAGGAGTGCCTGGTGGATTCGAACTGCCGACCTTTTGGTTAGCAGCCATAGCTCTTAACCACTACGCCACCAGGGTTTCCTGCTACCTCTTAAACCCTGCCATTTCCAGGACTCTGTCCTGTGAAGCCTCCCACCCAACAGTCACAGCTGTTTTCCTACAAACTTACAGGCTGTCCACAAAAACACACACTCACACACAGAAACACAAGCCCAGGGATTCTCACACTCTCCCAAAGTTATCCTTCTATCTCCTCAAAACATGTCATTCCCTTTATCCAAACCCTTGTCCTTTACTTATACATATTCCACAATGTTTGTGGGTTTTCTCTCACACACACCGGTATCCCATGAACCTTTTCCACAGCAACATACTTCTGCTTGAATAACGTTTAGCTACAATTTTTGTGGTATTTCAAGCTTCTTAAAATGGAATTCCATGTGTTTTAAAAATCCCACTTATTATTTCCCTATTTTTACAATAACTGCAAAATAACCAAAACTAAAGTATAGGCAACAAGACTCAACGGATGGGTGCTGTATTCACTCAGCATGTTATCATTCTACACTCTACCATTCAGAAATCTATCACCAAGATGGAAACTTATTCCAAAAGTCGGTCCTGAAAGGCTTTCGGTAACTCAGACTTTAAATAGCTGCATACTCCTCCGTACCTAGTAACCAGGCATAGAGTCTTCTGTTTAGAGACATTTCTCTTCTCAGGAGGGTCTGGGTGGCTGCTGAGAGAATATGTACGATGTCAGATCTAAGCAGAGGGATGGCTCTCTCATCAGGATCCTATTCAAAGGACAGAGAAAGCTTTACTACAAGGGACCGTAAAGTACAATACTGACTTTTTGACATGCAGCCGGCCCTTCCTTAAAAACTCAAACCAAACCCGCTGCCGTTGAGTCGATTCCGACTCACAGCCACCCCATGTGTTACAGAGTAGAGCTGCTCCATAGGGTTTTTCTTGGCTGTGATCTTTAGAGGAAGTAGCCCTGATAGCACACTGGTTAAGCTGGTTCAGCTGCTAACTGAAAGGTTGGTACCTGGAACCCGCCAGCTGCTCCATGGGAGAAAAGTGTGGTGATATGCTCCTGTAAAGACTGAAACCAAAAAAACCAAACCTGTTGCCGTGAAGTCTATTTTGACTCATAGAGACCCTCTAGGACAGAGTAGAACTGCCCCATAGGGTTTCCAAAGAGCGGCTGGTGGACTTGAACTACCGACTTTTGGTTAGCAGCCATAGCTCTTAACCACCCTGGAAACCCTATGGGGCAGTTCTACTCAGTCCTAGAGGGTCGCTATGAGTCGGAATCAACTTCATGGCACACAACAACAACAACAAATCTTTACAAAGCAGATCACCAGACCTTTCTTACATGGCACCACTGCACAGGTTCAAACCACCAACCTTTCGGTTAGCAGCCAAGAGCAAATTCTTTGCGCCACGCAGGGTTCAAGCACTTCCTTACACATCTACAAAGCTGTATCTCAAAAAGGCAGTTCTCAAAAGGACTTGGTCCTTCATATGCTGGGCATGGAAAGAAGCTATTAGATATTTGCTATGGAAATACCATGTTCACAAAAATGAACAAGGACTTTAATCTGTCAAAAGCAATCAGTGATCATTAAGTGGCTGAGCTCTCCTCTCAAGACAAAACTGCTTGAGATTTGTCATTAACACGCCCCACATCCTCAGGAAACACCGTGACTTACCTAGAAGAATAGCAATGACTTACCAGACAGGTATAAAGTGGGAAGAAGAACAAGACAATTTCCAGATTATTTCTTTGCACTAGAACATTTGGGTCCAACAGTGATGCACATAAAGACTTTACCTGTAAGTGATAAAATGGCATTAAACATTTCATTACAAAGACAAACCCAAAACAAACCCACTGCCATCAAGTTGATTCTGACGCGCAGCAACCCTGCAGGACAGAGTAGAACTGTCCCATGGGGTTTCCAAGGCTGTAATCTTTATGGAAGCAGACTGCCACATCTTCTTCCCGAGGAGCAGCTGGTGGGATCAAACTACCAACCTTTTGGTTAGCAGCCGAGCACTTTAACCACTGTGCCACCAGGGCTCATATTATAAAGACATTTATCATCATGTGCATCCTACTCTTTACAGTCATAAAAATGAAATGACTTTTCCTGGGAATCTTGAAATCCCTGTGTTAAATCACCAGGAACAGAAGAACAAAGTATAATAAGGTGTGAGGCAGGAAAGGTGCATCCTGGTTCTAGAGGCTACAGAAAGCTGTGTGGCCCCAGGAAGATGCTCCGCTACCAACCCTACTTGATCCAACTGAAAGTCAGAGGGGATTGGACCAGAGAGTCAGGTTCTAAGATCTCAACTTCTATGATGTCAAAAAGGAACGTCCTTAGGTTCCAACAGGGATCTTAGGTTAGACTAAAACCTTGAAGATATTTGGCCAAATGGATTTCCAATCAATTCAATACATATTTCAAGTGTCTTTTCTGAATACAGATAGGTGTACTACAGATGCATACCAGATGGTAAGAACCATAAAATAAATGCAAATAAAGAGCTATGAAATTTCTTGAAGACCTCTGAGAATTCAGGAGAGGGAAAGATCTTTCAGCTGGGGAGAACAAGGGAGCTCAAAGGGCAGGTCGGATCTACATTTAGACCTTGGAGAAGGGAGGGGCAGTAGGTACAAGAGGAAGGAATGGTTAGAGAAATGATGCATCACCCCAGATGTGTGAGGCCAGCCCCGTCAGCCATGCAACGGTGTGTAGAGGGCCTGAGAGGTCCCTGGGTGGTGCAAATTGCTAACACACTCAGCTGCTAACCAAAAGTTTGGAGGTTTAAGTCTACCCAGAGATGTCTTGGAAAAAAGCTCTGGTGATCTACTTCTGAAAAATCAGCCACTGAAAACCCTGTGGAGTGCAGTTCTACTCTGACATACACAGGGTCAACATGAGTCAGAGATGACTTGATGGCAACTACACAGGGCCTGAAAGGGGAAGGTAAGGGAATTTAGTGGGTTGGGAGCAGACTGTTAGAATACTCTGGAATTTGGTCTTAAATCCACAGGCAGCAGGATGCTAGATAACTTTTAAAGCCCAGGATAGATATGAGCAAACTATGCTTTAGGAAAGCAAATCTTTTAGCAATTGATAAGGGCTGAGTAGGTAGAAGATGGGATGATAAAGAAGTTATAAAATTATGTTCTGATTGAGGAGCAAGACATGAGAAGCTGAAGCAAGGCAGTGAAAATGGAGAGGAGTCTTAAGTGAAGCTGAGAACAGGAGAGAAGGAACCTATTTATGAGGGTCCCTTATACCCCAAGCACTGTGCTTGGTGTTCACACCAATGCTTTCATTTAATCCTCAGAGAGTCCATGGGAGGGCAGATCTACTACCCCCACTTTACAGAGAGGAGGGGACTCAGGGGTGAATAATTTACACCGAGTTGCAGAGCTGGAATTCAAAACCAGGACTTTCTCATGGAGGCATTCAATTTCGACTTTATGGTGGAAGTGTGGGTTCACCACTAGGTGGCGATAGACAGCAGGCCATTAAGAACCGAAGAGGTCACTTTGGGGAAAAGAGAAAAGAAGGGACGTTGCTGGGGGAAGAGCGCTCCTTGAGGGCCTGAACACGGACTTCTACAGAGCCCCGACGGTTTGGGTTTGAAAACAGCCAAAGAAGGCAGTGACGGCAGGAAGAGGAACAGAGGCTGGAGGAGAGAGCTTCAGCGTGCATGGCGAGGTCCGCGTGAAACGGGAGCAGAAAACAGTTTGAAAAAAAGATTTTAGCTAAAGCGGCAGACTGTGCAGAGGCTTTCTGAGTGTCGTGTACAGCGAACTGAGCTGCGCAAGGAGGCTTAGATGTGAGCAGCGCATATATCAATTCTACTACTTGTGTTAAAAAATTCATCTGAAGTATTTGTCCACAAAAAACAAATACACAAAACCTGCAGATGAATTTTATAGCAGCTTTATTTGTAACTGCCAAGAACTGGAAGTAACCAAGATGTCCTTCAGCATAGTTTGACTGAGACTGGAGGGACCCCAGAAGACATGGTCCCCGGACTCTCCGTTAGCCCAGAGGCCAACTCTTCAGGCAAATATTAGACTGGACTGTGGGATGGAGGGTGATGCTCATGAAGAGTGTGCTTCTTAGCTCAAGGAGATACATGAGACCAAATGGGCAGCTCCTGTCCAGAGGTGAGATGAGAAGGCAGAGAGGGTCAGGTGCTGGATGAATGGACATGGGAAGTCGGGTGGAAAGGAAGAGTGTGTTGTCACAGTAGAGGGAGAGCAGCTAGGGTCACATAGCAATGTGTGTGTAAGTTTTTGTGTAAGAGACTAACTTGAATTGTAAACTTTCACTTAAAGCACAATAAAAAAAAGTAGGGGAAAAAAAAGATGTCCTTCGGTAGGTGAATGGATAAACAAATGTAGTACAGCCATATTGGAATATTAATCTATCGATAAAAGGAAATAAGTTATCAAGTCACAAAAAGCCACGGAGGAACCTTAAATGGATGTTGTAAGTAAAAGCAGCCATTCTGAAAAGGCTACCTACTGTATGACTCCAACTATATGACATTCTGGAAAAGGCAAAACTAAACATCAGTGGCTGCCAGGAGCTCAGGGCAGGGGACTGGGATGAACAGGTGGAGCACAGGGCATTTTTAGGGCAGTGAAACGAGTCTGCATGACACTGGAATGGTGGATGCATCACATCACACATTTATCAAAACCCATAGGACTGTGCCTCATGACAGGTGAACCCTAATGTGAACTGGGACTTTGGTTAACACTAACGTATCAGTACTGGTTCTTCAACTGTAACAAATGGACCTCACTAACAAAAGGTGTTATAATAGTAGACACTGTGCAGTGAGAATGGGGGTAATATGGGAACTCTTGTACTTGATGCACAAATTTTCTAGAAACTTAAAACTGCCCTAAAAAATAAAGTATTAAAAAAAAAAAGATTCTCAAGCTTACTCCATGACAGTGAGCCTCGTCCTGTCCAGGTCGTGCCTGGCTCGTCAGGACACACTCTGAACCCTGAATGCCTTGGTGTACCCTGCTCCTGCCCCTGCTGCTCCCGTGGTCTCGGTGACAATCTGTATCAGGGAGCCATGCTCATGCCCCGGCAGGGCGTGTACCACCTACCGTAAGCTGGTAATCCGTCCCCAGCATGAACTTCTGCTCCTTGCCAGGCGCCTGGTGGTTGATGTGGCCCACGACAAAGAGCGAGGCTGGGAGGCGCACGGCCGGGCTCACCAGGACACTCCCCCAGAGGGCAGCATAGAACACCTCCCTGCCGACCACCACAGATAGCCTCAGCAGCAAAGCATCTGTTCTGTTCACGAGAGAGGAAGTGATTTGAGGGCTTGCCCATGGCCCCGTCTCACCTGAATGCTGCTCTGTGAATACTCCGCCAACATTCGCAGCTCATTCTTCCTGGCCGCGGAGAACGCCACCTCTGTTAAGTGTTCTGAGCTGCTGCCATCTCTTGCCCTTATGCTCTTGTCTACCTGCCAGCTGTCACTGAAACTGCTGCTAAAACAAATACCACCTGCTGCCCAAACAAATAGTACCAGGAGGTAAGAGTCTGAGCGGCTGGGTCACAGTCATACATAGCCTCACCATGGACACTGAGGTACTTGTAGGAGGCGCTTCCGTCCCACAAAGGGCACAAGCAGTCATCCATGCTAGACAAAGGCGTGAGAAGTCATTAACTTGTCGGAAAAAAAAAGCTACATATGCTACAGCATGGATGAACCTTGAAAATATGACGCTGAGTGAAGTCAAAGGGACAAATATTCTGTTTCCACTTATGTGAATTATCTAGGATAGGCATGTATATAGAGTCCAATGTTTATTAGTGGCTATCAGGGATGGTTGGGAGGGAGGGGAAAAGCGGACTCACTGCGTAGGGGACACTGAGTTTCTGTGAAGGGTGATGGAAAAAAATGGAAAAGGATGGTGGTGGTGGTTGAACAACGTGACGAACATAACTAATGTCACTGAATTGTATACATGAAGAACGCTGAAATGCCAAACCATTTGTTGCATATATATTTACCACAATGAAAATAAAAAAGAGGCATAAACTGGATACTCAATAAACATTTGTTGCATGGGGGAGAAAAAGCCAACATGACTGACTTAAGACGTAAGTAATTATAAAGATAGCTCCAGCTTGAGCACAGTCGAAAACGTGCCAAGTGATATTTGACTTTAGAAACTCTGGGTACAAATTTCACTATCGTACAAATTCCATAAGAAGCCCTGGTGGCACAATAGTTAAGCACTTGACTGTTAACTGAAAGGTTGGTGGTTGGAATCCATTCAGTGGCTCTGAGGGAGAAAGACCTGGCAATTTGCTCCCATAAAGATTACAGCCTAGAAAATCCTATGGGGACGTTCTACTCTGTCACATGGGGTCACTGTCAGTGGGAATCAGCTGGACGGCACCTAACAACAGCATAAATTCTGTAAGGCAGGAACACCTTCCATCTTCCCACAGGACTGCTATTCGCTGACACCCACACGGTGACACTCTCATGCTGAGGTATGATATTTATGCATCTCGTATCTTTATCTGGGTCTACCATTATACCACCTCGGCAACTTCACTTATGTGCAGTAGGAGAAACAGCTTCGTCAGGATATCAGGGCTTGTTTTTCCAATTTCACTGGCTTGGGACTCTGCTCTGCTCAGGGTGCACCTGCAGCTGACTGATGTGCCTGTTCTAAGAACTGGAAGCAACCAAGATGCCCTTCAGTAAGTGAACAGGTAAACAAACTGTAGTATATCCATACGGTGGAATATTAATTCAGTGATAAAATTTTCAACACTGGCTGGGCAATAGCCATCTGCTAAGGAGACAGCAAACGCAGGTTCCTACAGAGGGATTCTTTTAATGACTGATCTGACTCAAAATCTGAAGGCATTCAATTTCTCACAGGTTTCCTATTATTTTCAAAGAAGACAGAAAAGTCACAGAAGGACGAGTCGGTTCTGATTCATGGCGACCCCGCATGTGTCAGAGTAGAACTGTGCCCCATAGGGTTTTCAGTGGGTGATTTTTTTGGAAGTAGACTGCCAGGCCTTTCTTCTGAGGTGCCTCTGGGTGGACTCGAACCTCCAACTTTTCAGTTAGCAGCTGAGCCCAGTGTAATGTGGTAGTTATTCAGTGTCTTAATCTGCTAGGGCTGCTATAACAAAATCCCACAAAGCGGGTGGCTTATAAGAACAGGACTTCATTGTCTCCCAGTTCCGGAGATAACTGTCCAAATCAGAGTGTCAGCCGTGGCGATTCCTTCTGTGGGCTCTGAGGGAGACACTGTTCCATGCCTCTCACCCAGCTCCTGGTGGCTCCCGGCAATCTTCGGGGTTCTTGGGCTTGCATCTGCCTCCATGGTCACATCTTCTAACTCTCCCTGTCTGTCTCTTTAATGAGACACCACTCAGATGGCATCAGGACCCTCTCTACCCCAGTATGCCCTCATGTTAGCCTAACTGATAACATCTCAAAGACCCTATTTCCAAACAAGTCACCTTCACAGGTACAGGGGTTAGGACTTCAACAGATCTTTTTAGGAGACACAATTAAAAAAGACAAAGGCCCTCAATGAGATGGACTGACACAGTAGCTGCAACAACGGGCTCAAGTATAGTAAGGATTATGAAGATGGTGCAGGACTGGGCAGTGTTTCGTTCTGTTGTACACGGGGTCGTTATGAGTCAGAAACGACTCGACGGCATCTAACAATAACAATTAAATCCATAACATCTAGGTGTCTGGAGTCCACCCTTCCGGGTTCAAATCCTGGATCTGGCGCTTCCTGGCTGTGGGAGCTGGGACAAGTTGAACCTCCGTGCAAACCAGTACCCAGCTCTGAGATAGGAAAAAGAGTCCTCACCTCGCGGAGATGCTGTGAGAGTTAAGTGAGAATATCCGTGTGATACTGCAGGAAACATGCTGCCTGCAATTCCCCGTAGGTCTATCAGCCCATTGTAGGTCGTCAAGGTTGTGTGTCAATGTGGCTGGGCCGTGATTCTCAGTGGTTTGGCAGTTATGATGTAGTCTGGCAGTTATATAATGATGTAATCACTTCCATGATGAGATCTGATATAATGTAATCATCTCCAGGATGGGATCCGCTATGAGCAGCCAATCAGTTGAAAGGGAGTTTCCTTGGGGGTATGGCTTACATCCAATATATGTGGACTTTCTGGCAAGGCTCTCTGGCTTTTGCTCACCCTGGACCCTGTGTCAGGCTCTTCATCACCTGATCTCTGCTTCTTGGAACTTCAGCCAGAAGCCTGCTGTCTTACCTGCTGATCTTGGATTTGTCAGCCTCTGCAGACTGTAAGCCAGCGGCCTGCCATCTTACCTGCTGATCTTGGGTTTGTCAGCCCCTGCAGCTACATGAGTCAGGAGAAGCCTCCAGCCTGATGCCTGACCCACAGACTTGGGACTTTCCAGCCCCTACAACCGTGTGAGCTATTTCCTTGATATAAATTTCTATCTCTCTCTCTCTCTCTATATATATACATATATGGAGCACTGTGGTGTAGTGGTTAAGAGCTATGGCTGCTAACCAAAAGGTCGGCAGTTCGAATCCACCAGCAGCCCCTTGGAAACTCTATGGGGCAGTTCTACTCTGTCATACAGAGTTGCTATGAGTTGGAATTGACTTGACGGCAACACATGGTATACACACACACACACACATACATGCTTCACTGGTTTTGCTTCTCTAGAGAACCCAGCCTAAGACAGTCTGTTTGCTGGCACATCCCCAGCACTGGGAGGAGCACTTAGCACATAGCTGGCACTCAAAAGAACCATCAAATGAATGTCGTGCTTTCTTCCTATTTTAGCCCAAATCGTGTCCAGCTAATTGTTCAATAGTCACTTCGGTCTACATAAAAATATTTCATACAGAATTATCTACTACCTTTTTGTACTAAAAATGCAGTTTGTTCCCCTTAAAACTAGTCTAAGCCCTTTTTATCTCATAAAATACTAGTAGTAAATGATGCACAGTGTCTTCTTTTTGTAAAAAAACAAAAATGAGAGGCAAGCATTTAGGAAAAGTACACAGAACAATTTAGTGGCTGAAGATATTGATTGTTCTTCTATTAAGGCTGAGCAAACAAATACAGCTTAGCTTTGTCCAGCTCTGAAAACAACATAGCAAGGGCCCTAATTTTAGGCGGAAGCACCACTTAGCAGCTGCAGTTACGGTAAGATGAGGCAGGACTGGCACCATGTCCCCAGGGCACAGGCAGCACTCCACCGAGCAGATAGGATGGTCCCAAGCTAGAAAGAACTCCTACAGCAACAGACTAATTTAGGAAGCCCCCGGAGCGCTCCTCTCTCTCCAAGGATCCCTCTCACAAGAAAACCAATGTGTAGATAAATCCCAACTCAAGGACACTAAAATCACACCCCTCTTTGCTTCGAGCAGCATATTCCCAAAGTATGTTCCACCAAATTGTGGCCACCGGAGATGTTCTGCAGAAGAGAGCTCCCTGTCACAAAGCCCAGGACACGCTACACATGCCATCCCTTCTGCAATATTCAGAATATGTCGACTAGCTTTCTTTATTAGCCTTTATTCTTTAAAAGTCTCATTTTATTCATGGTTCCACAGTAGAGTTTCCATCTTCCCTGTGGAAGACCCGGGTTCGACTCCTGGACGATGCACCTCATGTACAGCCACCACCCTTCTATCAGTGGACGCTTGCATGTTGCTATGATGCTAAACAGGTTTCAGTGGAGCTTCCAGACTAAGACAGACTAGGAAGAAAGGCCTGGTGATTTACTTCCACAAATCAGCCATTGAAAACCTCACGGATCACAACATTCTGATCTGCAACAGATCGTGGGGATGGCATAGGACTGGGCAGCATTCTGCCCCATTATACATGGGGTCACCATGAGTTGGGGGCAAACTAGATAGCAGCTAACGACAACAACAAAAATTTAAACGATGTCACAGCGGAGAAAAGGGCAGTTACAACAGGCCTTTGCTATGGAAGAGCAGAAATTCAGTAACTGACAGTGAGACAGAAAGATGGCCATGTGAAGATGGGGCAGAGATTGGAGTGATGCTGTCACATGCCGAGGAACACGTAGGGCCACGAGAAGCTGGAAGAGGCAAGGAAGGATACTCCTCTAGAGCCTTTGGAGCGAGCATGGCCCTGCTGATACCTTAATTTCAGACTTATAGCTTCCAGAACGGGGAGAGAATGAATTTCTGTGTTTAAAGCCAAAAACCCAAAAGTTTTTAAAATCAATTAACAAAAAAACCTAAGTAACTTTCTACTGAGTAAGAATTACTCAAGAATGACTCATCTCGTTTTAGTAGTTAAATTCCAAAGTTAGTGAGCAGAGTTGAGAGTCCAGATCTCTACACTCTTCTACTCAAAACCAACCAAAACCAAAAAACAACAATAAAACCCCAAACCCTACCTCCTCTGCTTCCTCACTCACTCTGGCTGCGGTTTTCTCTGCCTCCTGCAACCACTAGCTCATTCAAATGGCTACTCAATTGAAAGCAAGTGAGTCACCAAAAAAAAAAGAAAATCCAAACCCACTGCTGTCGAGTCGGTTCCAACTCAACTCATAGCAACCCTATAGGACAGAGCAGAATTGCCCCACAGGGTTTCCAAGGAGCAGCTGGTGGATTTGAACTGCTATCCTTTTGGTTAGCAGCCAAGCTCTTAACCACTACACCACCAGGGCTCCAAGTGAGTGACACAGGGCTATAAATCCCAAGCATTTCACAAGCCTAGCCCTGCAGCCACTTGCCAAATAGACAGCCACTGCAAGCTAAGCTGTCACCAGACCTAACAGCTCCTGGTATGATCACCGAGCAAGCAGGGCAGGGCCAACAGCGCATTCGCCATAATGCACCGTCAGATCTGGCTCCAAAGAAGGGAGAAGGTGGGTCTAGAACCAGCAGAGCTTATCATCATGGTCCCTGGAACTGTCCAAACCAACTGCTGATGGAGGTTTCTGAGTTATTTAAATCGCTGGCACTACTGACATTTGGGACCAGATAATTCTTCATGGTGGGGGCTCTCGCATGCAGTATAGGATGTTGGACAGCATCCATGGCCTCCATCCACTAGATGCCAGCAGCACCACTCCCCAGTGTGACAACGTCTCCAAATGTCCCTGGGGGCAAAATTGCCCCCAGTGGAGAAGCACGGACTGAAGCAAGAATCTCCAGTGGGCCCGTGTTTCCTTTCTCATAAACCATTTAAACACACGCTCCTCCCCCACCCCCTAAATCTTCTCATCTTAATGCAGCAAAACAGAGCCACACAGCTATTTCATGGGCACTTTAAGAAAGGAATTCTGGCCAGAAGCAGATAATCTGCAGGCCTCAAGGGGTCAGCGAGTGAATAATAAGCCCTAACATTAGCCAAAATTTCCATTCCTATGGGTCGCCAAAAAGCACAAACCTGGAGCTGTCTCTGCTGACACAAAGCTTGGTGAGTCATCCAGCCTTCATTAGCCCTAACCTAATTCACCCCTTTGCAATTCCTACCAATATGGACATAGTGAACCCCCACTGTACTGTCCCCCCGCAGTCAGACAAATCCCTTTGTGCCTGCACATTATTTGCTGGGGATGTTTTACTCAATTACTAAGCACTTTTGAGAAACTAACATGGATACCAAAAAAAACAACAACAACCTCGTTGCCATCGAGTCAATTACGACTCTTAGAGACCCTACAGGACAAAGTGGAACTGCCCCATAGAGCTTCCAAGGAGTGCCTGGTGGATTTGAACTACCAACTTTTGGTTAGCAGCCGTAGCTCTTAACCACTATGCCACCAGGGTTCGTGTGCAGCTACCACAATTACTGAGCATGCACACCAGCTCAGAGATGTTACCTTCGGCCAGTCTCCACTTGGAAAGCTAATAACTGAGAGTTTCTGGTGCCACCGACACGGGGCTTAGTTTTCTGTCACGGCAGAACCCATTCAGTGATTCATGCAGCTCTTGGTTCAATGTCAAAAAGTCACAATGTCAGTGATGGAAAAAACGCATGTTAACCAACGAACGCAACTGTTCAATGAACCCTCACTTACCAACTAAGACAACAAACAAAAACTCCCAAACTATTCACATGCTCCTAGTGAGTCACTCTCACAGATTTAAAAAATTTCAATAAATTATGGGAACTGATGTGTTCATCTGTCAGATGATGGAAAAAAGTTTACACACACATGCAAACACCCACATACACAAACACACCCCTTACACACAAACACACTCTTTTCATACACCCATACACCACACACAATCACACACATACATACCACACACACACTCACACCTGTTATTAAACCATGAATGTAGCTGAAGTTCTAGAAAGAGCCCAGAACTAGGAGTTTGAGGGACATGGGACATGGATATGACCCCTCTGTGACCCTGACCATTCATTAACCCAACACCCACTTACTGAGTCTCACTAAATTACCAGCCACAGTGCCTGGTGCTAGAGTTGAAGTGGCAACAAGGCAGGTTCTACCTCATGAGGAAATAATGGTAAAGGTGGATTCTCCACTGGGAAATTGCAAACCACTTCCAGATCTAGGTGAAAGCTTGAAATGGCCAAAATGTAAATTTTTGGTTGGGTTTGTGAAATTCCAGTATAGATGCTGGTGAAACACGCCCTTGGTCACCAGCCACAATCCATTCTGGTCACCTGGCTTCCTTGAGTTGATGGAGGTGCTCCAAGCAGACCTCTGGACATAGGATCCCTCCCCACCCCCCGCCACTCAGTCACAGCAGACACAACAGGCAGGAGTGAAGGGCTGGTCCTCTGGCATGGGGAAATGCGGGCAATGCAATGTGAAATCAAATGGATACCTTTACAAGCACGAGGGTTTCTAAACCTCCCAGGCAGGCTGCACATTGGCTCTTAAAACAGGTCTTATTATCAAAGGCTAATCACTGTGGAATCTCTCGGAATAGTTAACACACAGGAAGTGAGTTCTTATGTTATAATTCTTCAGAAAACCTGGATATTGTATACGCTCATCACTGCAATCTGACGGGATATGCGTTTTCTCTCACTCTTAAGCAGTTACCAAAAAACTGTGGGAACTTTGGTGCCCGCGAGCTTTATGAGTTTCCCCAAGGTACAGCTGGAATCTGTCAAGAGGTTCTGCTTAGCATCAGAATGAATCACCTTTTCAAGCTCTGCCCATCAATGAAATCTGCCTTGGCTTTTTTTATTGAGAACCAGCCTTGTACAACTGAAAGAACAGGACTTTAGGATTTGACCTGTGTGTGTTAGAATCTCAGCGCCTGCTGACCATGTGACCCTGGGAAACTGTCTTACCTTCTGACTCTCACCTGTAGAGTGGGATAACTCATGGGGCACAGGAAGTAAACGTGATAATGTGTACAACACAGACTGCAATTGTCCAGTAAGTGTGCACACGTTTCCTCCACAAAAGGAGCCATCGTAAGAGCTCAAGTTTTCTTCTCTGTGTCTTTCATAAAATGATGGTATGATGAACTCATAGCGGGACAGGATGCAGGAGACTGACCTCCACACTACCGCCTCCCTCCCTAACTAGCTACGTTTCTCTAGGTAAAGGACTTACTCTCTCTAGACTTGGGAGTTCCCCTTTGGTAAAGGAGATGCAGTGAGGTTCCCAAGAGAACAAAAGTGTTTCGACAGGCAGACGACATTGTATCTCTATCTACCCTGTATCTCTATCTTCCCATGCTTCACATATCTCTGCACCTCTTTTCCAGTTTCTTATAATGTAACCGAGTCACTGGGTGGTACAAATGGTTAAAGCACTTGGCTGCTAAGCAAAAGGTTGGCAGTTCGAGTCCACCCAGAGGTGCCTTGGAAGAAAGGCCTGGTAATCTGCTTCTAAAAAAATTAGTCACTGACAACCCTATGCATGTACACCAGTGTTTGCTGCAGCACTTTTCACAATAGCCGAAAGATGGAAATTACCGAAATGCCCATCAACAGATGGACAGATAAACAAACTGTGGTATACACACACAACAGAATATTACTCAGCCACAAGGAGAAACGAAGTTCTGATACATGCTACACCATGGATAAACCCTGAAAGCATTATGCTGAGCAAAATAAATCAGTCACAAAATGACAAGTACCATATGATCTTACTTACATGAAATAAACATATACAGAGAAACCAAAAATTATCAGTGGTTACCACGGATGGGAGGAAGAGGGAAAGGGACAGTTTTTGCTTAGGAGACACTGAGTTTGTGTTAATCGCAGTAGAATAATTTGGAAAAGGATAGGAAGCTTGGTGGCACAACTTGAAGGATGTACTCAATGTCACTGAATTGCACATGTGGAAATTGTTGGATTGGTGTGTGTTCTGCTGTGTATATTTGCACCACGATAATAAATAAAAATTTAAATTAAAACAGAAAAGAAAACAAAATCCTATGGAGCACAGTTCTGTTCTGACACACACACACGGAGTCTCCATGAGCCAGAGTCAACTGGTACTGGAATAAGAAACAAGTCGCCTGGTCCACCTGCCCGCGCTCACGGGGGACATGGGCATGAGCACGGGTGAGACAGATGCCCACCTGTCATAGATCTCCGAGCCCTCCTCGAGGCCCGGCAGCAGGCCGATGATGAAGGCCTGGAGGCCGGGCAGGAGCAGCTTCTGCAGCGGGAGAAAGTACTTCTCATACAGGCCGAGGAGCACAGGCCTCACTGACATCGCCGCGTTTGCCAGGAGAGGAAACAGCCCACAGCTTGGAGAGAGAGGGAAAAACAACACGCTGTTATGGACTGAACTGTGTCCGCCAGACAGATGTGCTGGAGTCCTAATCCCTGTGTCTGTGAAGGTGACCTCGTCTGGGGACATGATGATGCTACCAGTTAAGTTAAATGAGGTCATACCGGAGTAGGGTAGATCCTAATTCCTTGTGAGTCGTGTCTTATAAAGGGAGAACAGACATGGAGACAGAGTCACACACAGGGACAAGATGCATCTACAAGCAGCAAAGGACACTAAGGACTGCTGGCAGTCACTAGAAGCTGGGAGGGAGGCACAGAGCAGCCCCCCTCTTAGGGGCCTCAGGAGGAATGGACACGGCCCATACCCTGAAATGGACTGCTAGCCTCCAGAACTGTGAGGCAATAAATTTCTGTTCTTCAAAGTCAGCCACTTTGTAGCATTTTGTTACAGCAGCACTGGAAACTAAGACATACGCGGATTAGAAGTTCCAAACAACAAGCCAGCTAAAGGGAGTTTTAAAAAGCAAATGGACAGCCGTTTACAACGGTAACACAGAGAGATGCATGACATGAGATGGCCGCATCACACTGTGAGGTAAAGAGCAGGTAACTAAACAGTATGCCCATTAAGCTCCTACTTCAAATATACTTAAGGAAAAGCCTGGAAGGGTATACTCCAGGGGAACCCTGGTTATCTCCTGGTGATGGCTTTATGGTTATCTTTGCCCTTTCCTCCACCTTTTGCTTGTTTGTCGTTTTCTAATCTCGTGAAACGGGATATGGGTATATTATTCGGGTAATAAAAAGCAACAAGGCAGAGAAGCAATCGTACCTGTATAGAAACAAATCCTTGGCCAGCCATTTGGTCCCAACAATTTTGAAGATAATCTCGTAGGTTTCTAGGGCTTTTAAGTGCACACCGCTGGGCAAAGCCGGGTGCAAGCATTGAGCTAATCGCTTGCTGATAATGAGCCGTCTTGGCAACAAGGAATACTTCAGGTTACTCTGAAGAGCCTGTGAGACAAGAGGAAACAAGTGAGAAAGAAGACAGCGGTTGACAGCTGGACGTAACTCTGATGAGGCCAGAAAGACCATGCACAGGCCCCAGGTGTGGTTGTAACAAAGTGACTTAGCAGGACAGGAAGGCATGGGACCTCACGAGGGGCCATAGGGAGGGTCCCAGGACATGCACGTGTGCCCCCGGCACCCAGGGAAGCTTCTGGCTAGCCACACTGGGGCAAAGCCAACACCAAAGTGGAGAGCAAGGGAGACACTGTCTTCCTTTGAAGCCACTCTGTCACCGTGAGGCCAGCTTCTTGGCAGCAAGACGGTCCTGTGCATGGATGAGGGTGCCTCTACCTCCGGTAGCCACCAATGCACCAGCCGTACCAGGGCCAGGTGACCACCTGCCCCTAAAGAAGACCCTGCTTGGGGCCCCCATGGCCCTGGATTCTTGTCCAGGGAGAACAAAAGAACTGACTGTCCCACCCTCTTCCAGCTCAGCTTCACAGCCAGGTGCTCTGAAGGGGGCTCGTCCCAGAGGAGATGGGTTCAGAGACACACGTAGTGACTTCTGGCTACTGCATCAGTGGTGGTCATGTTAGGTGCCATGCACCACAGCCCCAGGGGGACAGAGCCACAACTCTCTCCAGACAGGTTTCCTTCAGCAGGACAGCTTGTCTGAGAGGAAGTATCGCCGTGTTTGCTGTGCCGAGAAGGACGTTCAGGAGTGCCAGCAGGCTGGTGCAGTTCTGTGTGGCATCACGGGAGGGTGCCATGGGCTGGACGGCTCCTAATTGCCTAAGCGTATAATACAAAGCATCTGTTGTGACGGTGGAACCAACCGCAGAGCTAATTCATTAACGCGCACAAATATTTACTGAAAGCCTACGTGGTAAAGTCCACACTTCTTAAACTGCCATTCAAAGGCCCCGACATCTGACTCCAGTTGGCTTAGCTGCCGCATCTGTGTTTGCAGCCTGCCCCGCTCTGTCCTCCGCCCCAGCACCCTTTCCATCCCCTTTGCTGACTTCTCCACACACAGGGTTCGGCGCAGGGTGCCTCCTCCACTAGGTTCCGCGAGCAAATTCCTATTATGCACGCACAACACCGTCCTAAAAATATCTGCTTAGGGGTCTGACTTAGATGGGGAGCACCTTGAAGGCCAAGAAAGAAAAAAGAAAGAACGAGAAAAAAAAAAAAAACACACACATAAAACCCAGCTGCTGTCGACTCCAATTCATAGTGACCCCACGTGTGACAGAGTAGCACAACGGACCTGTGCGTGGGTTAGGGTGCCTCTACCTCTGGTAGCCACCAATACACCAGCCGAACCAGGGCCAGGTGACCACGGGGTTTTCAATGGCTGATTTTTCAGAGGTAGATTGCCAAGGCACCTCTGGCAGAATAGAACTTCCAATCTTTAGGTGAGTGCTCTAACCATTTACACTACTCAGGGATTTCAGCTTAAGGGCAGGATCAGCCCAATTCATCTTTGTTATTTTAAGCACTTTGCACAAAGTCTAAAACAAAACAGGCGGACTGGGGGTGTGTCACAAGGCATTTGTGATGCTAACTGCATTCCTTCAGGTGTAAGAATGCCGCCCACTTACCATCCGGAGCAAAGGAGAGTGAAGAAAACCAAAGACTCAAGGGAGCAATTAGTCCAAAGGACTAATGGACAACGTGAACCACAGCCTACACGGCCCAGAGACCAGGAGAACTAGATGGTACCCAGCTACCACTACCGACTGCTCTGACTGGGATCACAATAGAGGGTCTTAGGCAAAGCGAGAAAAAATTGTAGAACAAAAAAATCCAATTCACAAAAAAGACCAGACTTACTGGGTGGACAGAGACTGGCAGAACCCCTGAGACTACGGCCCTAAGACAATCTTCTGACCTGGAACTGAGGCCATTCCCAGAGACCACCTTTCAGCCAAACCATAGATAGGCCCATAAAATAAACAATAACACCTGAGAGGAACGGGCTCCTTGGAACAATCAATCATATGAAATCAAAAGGGCAACACTTGCCCAAAAACAAAGAGAAGGCAGGAAGGGATAGAAAATCAGGACAAAAGGAAATGGGGAACCCAGGATGGAAAAGAGGAGAGGTCTGACACATTGTGTGGAATGAAACCAATGTCGTGGAATATTTTATGTCCAAACTACCGAATGGGAAACTAATTAGCTCTGTAAACTTTCACCTGATGCACAATAAAAAATAAAAAAAAAAAAAGAAAGAAGACTCGGGTGAGGGTAGAACATTTTTTTTTTGTTTACATTATAAACTTTACAGAACTACCTTGTTTTAAAAACTATGTACATGTACCACCTTACAAAAATTAAAATTAAATTTACAAATGATGGGGTGGCATTCCCACAGAAGAAAAAAAAAGAATGCTGCCCCTTAGGGCCATGACAACTTTACCTTTACAAACAAAGAAAATGATCACATCTCTAAAACAAACACTGAATTTGTAGTTAAGTGAAGTCAAGAGAAGGAAAAGAAGAATATTTTTTCGTGAGGGCCTGTAGTCTAAATAAACCCTTAAATTCAATAAAACTATATCTTTAAAGGAATCCCTCAGTGGTGTGAACAGCTAAACGCATTCAGCTGCTAACTAAAAGGTTGGTAGTTCAAGTCCACCCAGAGGTGCCTTAGAAGAAAGGTCTGGCAATCTGCTTTCAAAAAATCAGCCACTGAAAACCCTGTGGAGCACAGTTCTATCCTGACACACATGAGATCACCATGAGTCAGAGTCTACTTGACAGCAATTGGTTGGTTAATTATAGATTTTTCTGGAAGGCTGTATAAGAAACCTAACAATGACGGCTTCTCAGGAGGGGAAATAAGACCCTGGGGAAAAGGTCAAGAAGATGACATTTTTCACTGAACAGCTGTTACATCTTTGAATTCTGCTCCATCTATTACTTACTCCCCAAAATTTAATTATAGCACACGGAAATGGTCTGATGTAATTGGTTGCTGGACTCAGTGTAAGGTTGTTGAGGTCATTTATTATTCACCATTCAATATTTATAGTCAACTCAGTATTCACCGACAGGCAGATAACCCTACAATGGGCATAAACATTCAACAGTCCCTGCCCTTCTAAGGTGTTATGGTCTGGTGGCGGATAAATACCAGAATATAAGCAGTTACATGGGATTGTTTTCTATATTATACAATATGTTCTTGACGAAGACCCAGAGGGGAAGTCTCCTTCTACCAGGTAAGGCTGTGCTTTTGGAAGTTGTTCACCTTGATCTTAATGAGACTGAATCACTGCACCTCATCTCACTGGCCACGGGAAAATTCACGGCAGCATGTTGCTTAGCTCTAACGTCTCCGTGCCCCAGCCCTTGTGAGGCCTGAGCCAGACCAAATGTTATGGATTGAATTGTGTCCCCTCAAAATGTTTCTAGGAATCCTAACCCCCATACCTGGCTATGTATAAAAAGAGCAGATGAGACACAGAGGCACACACAAACAGGGAAGACAGATGCCACTTAAGGATCGCCAAGAAACCAAGGACACCTGGGACTACCTAAACCAGTTACTATGGAGTCCACTCTGACTCATGGTCACCCATGTGTGTCAGAGAACCATACTCCACAGGGTTTTCAGTGGCTGATTTTCAGAAGTAAATCACCAGGCCTTTCTTCTGAGGTGCCTCTGGATGGACTCCGACTTCCAACCTTTGCACTACCTACAAGGAAGGAGCGGACATAGCCAAGCCCTGATTTGGACTTTTCACCTCCAGAACTGTGAGCAAATACATTTTTGTTCTTTAAAGCCACCAACATGTGGTATCTGTGTTACAGCAGCACTAGGTAACTAAGACACTGAATGTTCTAGAAAACACCTGTGGAGTGAATGGAGAAGTGGCAGAAGCACACACTCCCTCAGGAGGACACATAGCACCACTTGGTGCATTCACACCATGAGCGGCACAGGCACAGCTCGAGCAAAACGTGCAGGTGCAGGGGTGGGGGCAGAGCATCAGAGGTTGTGAGTAAAGCTGATCAAACCCAGAGCTCAGGAACTGACTGCAGAGCTTGCTAGACCATCTCTTGGAACTGCTAAGACATTCAACCACTGAGTATCACCATCATTGCTGAACAATGAGCCTGGAGCAGCACCTGTGTCACAGAGTGTGCGTTAACATACCTGGCACAGAGCCTGGCACTTACTGTGTGCTTCAAAACTGAGGGGGTTACTAACATCAGGCTGATGCACATGAGCTTAGGAGTGTATACTCATCTAGCACTGGTATAAGAGAAATACCACAAGTGGACGGCGTGAAACAGAAATTTGTTCTCTCACAGTCTAGGAGGATAGAAGTCCAAATCGGGACACCAGCTCCAGGAGAAGGCTTTCTTTCTCTGTCGGCTCTGGGGGAAAGTCCGTGTCATCAATCTTTCCCTGGTCTAGGAGCTTCTCAGTGCAGGGATCCCGGGTCCAAAGGACATGTTCTGCTCCCGGCACTGCTTTCTTGGTACTATGGGGTCCTCTGTCTCTCTGCTCACTTCTCTCTTTTATATCTCAAAAGAGACTGCCGCAAGATACAAACTAATCCTGTAGATTGAGTCCTGTCTCATTAACATAACTGCCTCTAATCCTGCCCTCATCAACATCACAGAGGTCGGATTTACAACACATAGGAAAATCACATCAGATGACAAAATGCTGGGCAATCACACAATATTGGGAATCATGGCCAAGCCAAGTTGACACATATTTTTGGGGGACACAATTCAATCCATGACAGGCGGTAAGAACCATGAGCTCTCGAGGGACCCCTGCACACAGACCTACCCTGGGCCCAGTGGAAGACTCTCTCCTGACCAGTGAACAATGGGATGTGTTATAATAATTCTTGAAGAGACATATGGACTCATTCCATCCTCTCCCACGTGTGAATTTTCAATCCTTAATTAGCAAGATGGAGACCCCCGGTGGTGCAAACGTTAATGTGTTTGGAGCTAACTGAAAGGCTGGAGGTTCA